ATTCACTTTAATTTATGAAATTCAAAGAAATCAAATGTGTTTTTTATATCGTTCCCTAACTAAGTAATTAAAAAGTGTCTTTTTACACGCAATACCAACAGTGACAAAGAACGAAAGGAAATATTTTATTGTTTACTGACAATTCCAATTGGTCATTATATATTATTGCAATAATTATTATCTTCATATTATGAAAAACCAATACCAAATGTTCAAAATAATTTTCCAAACAGAAACACAAAATCTCTTCAATAAAGTCTTCAAAATGCAACCGAACAAAAAATACGAAAAACATTTGACTTGCGTAGGGTTGTCCACGTTTGTAGTGACATAACAAAATCGTATGAACTGTCAACACAAATTCAATACAATAAATTCACGATAGAAACATAAACAAAGACCAAAATAAAAATGCAAATAATGGGGAAAAAATAAAATAATTTTGATGTCTGCAACGAAATCGCGGTGTGTGCGTGTCTTTAATGTTGTTTGAAACTTAAGAAAACAACAATAATTCTATTTCAATTGTGAATTGACGTTCAGAATTTTGTGTGCACCTCTTCGTCGATTGGACATGTTAAAAATTAAGCAACTTGTGGCCGAGAATACAGCATCGCACAAAATGACAAAGGAATTATCTGGTGTAACGATCATTTTGATCATTGGTGGTGGTGTCCTAGCATTTGCGATTGTATTCATTTTGGCCAAACGGCAAATTATGAGATTTGCAATTCGTAATAGACGCGGACCGCATGTGCCAGTCGGTCACGATGCAACCAAATCGATAAAAAAGGAAATCGAACGTCGTTTGGATTGTATTCAACGTATTGCGTACGAACCACAATTACTACCGGACGATGATTCATCTTACATTTTACAACCAGACTCATCGCTGCCGCCATACTATTATCGATTGAAAGCTGTGGATGATATTAAAATATTGGAAAATGAGATTTCAAAGCAAGACGGCAGCGTACGATTGCCGCGAGATAGTTTGAGAGCATTTTTAATAACAACATTGGCCGCACCCATGGCCGGATCCAGCCAACGTTTGATTCACCAATTTTGTGATATGTATGAACACGCTCGGCACGACCCGAGCGAATTTAGCAATGAAGAATATGAAGCCTATCGTCGATTATTGATGAAATTATTAGATGCGTAAGTGTTTTACCATCAACATTATCATTTGGCAATTTCTTTGATTGTTATTGAATTTGTCTGATTCCTTTTCTAGCGCAAAATCACTGAAGACTTTTTCGAATAGCAGAAAATCGTCCCCAAGTCGTACACCAGTCAAAAAACAAACAAAAGTACAATCATTATTAGATCCATCGCGTCTGAAGCCTCCACCAGCAACAGTGGGCAGCGGAAACATGCTGAGTGCCAATTCACGAATCAACTATGGCCTTGGCATTCAGCATGATTCACTCACCACAACAGGCAAACAATCCAACGATGAAGAACAATCGCCGCCGCATAATATTACACTACATTTAGACGCAAACGAAATTATCACTGTATCTCCTGATTCCAGTGTCATTTGATAAATATAAATTAGAAATTCTAGATAACTATGTATCGAACGAACTAATTATTATTACCATAACCTCTCGGATGTATTTCGATGTGCACTATTTTTTTTGCTTTCAATAAACTTATACAATACTTACTGTCCGATATTACAAGGAACAGTGTCCACGTGTAAACTAAAAATTCCAAATAAATCCTAAAACATAAATTGAAAACATTTTATTCTGCCTTTACACAAATTTATTTTCCATTGAAAAAAAACAACAACAAAACACTTTTGAAGCCTTACATTTTTTAAGTATAATTTCATTCGCATCTTCTACTTCCAAGAAGAAATGATTTTTTAATCAAAACAAAGGACAAAAGAAAATATTTATTTGTCAACAGAAAATGAATCACTCTAAATCATTGTTCATTGTAAATGACATATGTAATGATACTATTTGCAATGTCCCTTTTGTTACATTTTTACAATAATTTTACTTTTTTGATGATTTAATTTTAATTTTGACTTTTACGAAGTTTCACATTTTTTCAATATACTTTCGAATGTACGCATTTCTATTACCTTTGTATTCGAAAAAATATTTGCTTCCTACATCAGTTGAATAAATATAATCAGCAAATACAGTAAACAAAACATTCGAATGCAATATACGCACGAATAAAGTAAAGGGAAAAAGAGCAAAGAGCGTGCACGGTCTACGCTTCTCACATGTATGTCGACTTCGTATCGTGTGTACGTACTGTGTACTGAGTAGAATTTTTTTCGCTTGTTTGTTGTTTATAATTCACTGGCGCAACGTATGCGTATCGTTAGTAAGTACTTGTTCGATGCGATGCCAAATCATACTTACCTGGTGTAGAGATTTCTTTGATCAAGAAGGAAGATTCTCCGAAGTGAGGCCCGCGTCATTGCACTACGACGTGGCTGACCTTTGCGATTAGATCTCAAGTATCTAACTCGTACACGTTATTTTTGATAGCAGGGAAAAGCGTTCGCGCTATCCCTTTTTATCTCTTTGAAAAAGAAAAAAAAATGAAAACAAATAGACCAACTACTTTGTTGTGGAACATACAATTTTTTTCCCAATTGAATGTTAACGCACTGAATGTTGACTGCATTTCATTCTTTTAATACATGTACCCACAACGTCAAGTTTAAATTGTTGTTTGTTTTTCTTTTTGTTCAAAAATATCTGTCGCCGATTTTCTTTGTTCAGTGTTATTCTTTGTTTTAATAAAAAATTTATTAAATTCGACTTTTCTGATAATTGTTTGGGGCTTAATTTTATGTGGACAACGTAGTCATCAAATACGTCCGAGAGAAGAAGAAGAAGAAAAAATGTCGTTCTGCAGATTAGTGTTTGGGCAGTGTTCTCAGACAGACGGAGAGAAATTATACAGTCAATTAAGTATCGACAAGCGAAACCGCAAATGTGAGTTTTAGCCATTGGAAAGTGAAGCGATAACGTTACACATCGTGTCAAGATACGACACCCGAACAAGAGATAGACACTCGAACACAAAAAAAACGTATGAAAGAATTAAATGAGGAAGTCGATTGGTGAGAATAAAAATATGGACAGTAATTTTCAAGTTGCGCACGAAGCGTTCAAGTATTGTTTATTCTTCATAAATAATAGATTTGTTTATTCAGATATTTGTGGAGCTGGTTTGAAACGAAAAGAACATTTGGAGCGTCATAAATTGGGGCACAGTCCGGAACGTCCGCACATTTGTAGCGTGTGTAAAAAGGGTTTCAAGCGGAAAGAGCACCTGAATCTGCATTTTGTCATTCATAGTGGCGATAAAACGGAGGTTTGTGCCAATATATTTCCGCTATGGCTCACAGAAAGATGAACATTAAATTCATTAATTTTGTTTTATTCAGATCTGCGGTGAATGTGGAAAGGGTTTGTTTAGAAAAGATCACCTTCGTAAGCATACAAAAGTAAGCGACCACCAAATTCGTTTTTTGAATATTGATTCTTCATTTTTAAGCTAATTTCGTTTCTCTTCCTACCCGCATAGTCACATATAACGAAGCGACTGAAAGAGGAGATGAATGCACAGGCTCAGGCACAAAAAGCAGCTACAGGTCATGCAAATGGAACCGCCAACGCAAATAAACTAACGAATGTTACAACTGCCAATATGATGCCAGTGAACATAACATCGATTTCAATGGCAACAATGGCAACAATAGCATCAAATTCAATCGACACAAACGCAATAAAGACCGAACTAACAACTACAAATTGTTCGACCGATGACATACTGCAACAGATTCAACAGCAGCAGCAACAGGTGCTTCAATTGCAAGGCGACTGTCAAACAATTTTTTTGTTTTAAATTAGGTTCCAACGAGCGATAATACAACAGTGCCTGTCCAAATCAAACTACCGCCAATGATGACAACAAGTGCTGGAGATGGGACTACAAATACGGTTGTTTTGCAACCGACCACAAATACAATTTCTACCGCTACTCTAAGCAATAACAGTTTTAATAGTCAATCAACGCTATCAACCACCTCATTGCTACCATGACAACAAAAGTCACCGCAGACCATTCTTCTAGCTAAATCACAAATAGCACACGAACTCAGTCGAAAACAATAGATCATCATTTAAACAAAACAGAGAGAATTAAGTAGTAATTAATACTTTCTTTGTAATTTTGTTTTATACTTTTTCCATGCAAAATGTAGAAAAATGTAATACTCAGTTTAACGAAAAAGAACCCGAATTATCTTGCAGCGACCTGAATGAGCAGAACAAGTACAGATCATCATTAACATATAGAGTCTCGATGAATATTCCATCAAAATTGCACAATTTTAAGAGTAAACTACAATTCGAGAGTTTAATTTGTACCTTCAAAATTCTTTGGTTTTTTAATTTTAGACATTATTTTATTTATTATTATGTTTATTACAATTTGCTATACGAAACGAACACATTCTGCCCGAGTAACTCCTAAAAGACATATTTTTTTTACCTTTTGTATATATACACGACACTACTTCTATGGGATGTTTTAATTACATTTATTGTAAATTAGGTGTAAGGGAAAATTGTTAGTGAGATATGCTAGCACAAGCATCAATTGGCTCCGTATCAACATCAGAGCCATTATTTTTTTTCACGTTTTAAGCTTATTGTCGTTTGGATAAGCATGAATTCAATTTATCAAAGAAAACTGTTCCGTAAACCAATGTGTATGTCAATATTAATTGGCCAATTTGAGAGAAATCATGCAGCAGGTTGAACCAATTATATATGTAGAACTATTACGCGGTTGTATTTAAATTTTCAAGTTGAAGTGAAACGGTGATGTTTGTAAGAAAAGTATTTGGTTTTTTCTTTAATTTAAGATCGCTCAAAATGTTGAAACCATTTCAAAATGTTTCACGAGTGTGATTTTGTTCTGATATACATAATGTGCTACGCAGACAATTGTCTGTATTATGGCAAAAGATCAAATGAAAACACACAAAACGATACATAATATTTTTTTATAAAGTTTTGAACATGTTTGAAGACAACAGATGAAACGAATTAAAAAAAAAAAAAAAATCATGATTTTTAAGCATTTAAAAAACCTACGATAATTTTTATTCTCATTTTTAAGGTTTATTATTTCTTTTTCGCAAATTTCTACCTGTTACCATGTTAGACACATTAATGCATCATTCTGCAATTTAAATGCTAATCACTTGCGACGATAAATCATTAGGAAACACCATGAATGGTTTCCTCGTCATTTTGTACGTGTAGCTAACTGAGACTCATCTAATGACTTGGATTGTTATGATTGTATGTAAGTAGTAGCGACGTAATGAGTATACTACAAGTTCCCTATAATATTAAAAAAAAACTATAGCTATTTTTGAGTATAAAAAGATTTCCATTATTTTATAATACATTTTGAACGTAAACTTTATTTATTTTTGTCACGGTGTCAATTATGATGCCATTTTACAGATTCAAGAGTTGGTGTTGCTCTTAAATAGCCGCCAATTCATATTTAGTCATGACTGTTTATTAATATTAATTCGATTTATTTGCTCTTCTTTTTCAACAAATTGCTTATTAAAACTGGTTAAAATTCAATTTTTTGTACGATAAACGTGAATCAATTAAATGAAATCTTATTCGTTTAAGTATTGGGTTTCGATTATTATTTTTTTTTTTCAGGGAAAATGTAATTGAGTTTTGAAAATATAATCGATTCAAATTATTTGTTACCAGATAAATTGTTGTTAATCGGGTAAAATGGTAGGAGGTTTGATAAGAACGGGAACATAATTTGTTTATTTATAATAATCAAGTATAAAGGTGTGATAAAAAGATAGAAGAATCGATTTAAAGTAGGCCAAGTGCTTCCAATACCGAATCGTCTTTAACCAATGCATCGTCTTCCTGCCAAATGATACTTGCGAAGGTTTTTTCTTGATATGGTTGAATCAAGTCTTTCAATTTTTCAACAAGATTCGGTTGAAGTAGCTTTGGCAAACCTACAAATGATATGCATTTTTTTGTTAGTTTTTTTTTTAAATTAAAAACCACAATGAAAAAAAGAACCACTTACCGTATATAAAACACATTGTTGTTATGCACGGGAATAACAATATTTCATCAATTGAGCGCAAACGGTCGGATGGTAGTTTTTCCATTATTCCGTAATCTACATAGAATAAATTGTACCAGCCCATGCCTGATTTTGACGGTTTTGCCCGATACCATCGGTCATTACGGTAGGACATGGCCAAACACCATTCATTTTCACTAAAAAGAAAAAAAAAGATTAAATTTTTTGTATTTTTTGTATGTTTTTTTTAATAAATGGGCATTACTCTGGGAAATATGGCGTTTCAATCTGCTGTTTGGCGGCATAGTCATTTATGAATTGGTCGATCGAAATTAACATCTTCATATTAGTCGCTTCAACTGCTGCGAAACAGCCACAATTCAACATGCTATTGTCCAAGATGAATAATGGTTTATTTTCGACATCGTCAGCGTTGTATTTCAATTGCTAATTGTAAACAAAGGAATTTCAAGTTTTAGCAGAGTTTTTTTTTAAATTGCGAAAAATTTGAATTTTTGTTTGGGAGCCATGATTTTAGGCTGCCGTAATGACGTTTACACAATAAAATAACATTCTAAAAGTTTAAAATAATTTCAATCATAATTAGGAGTACCTAGAGAGAGAGAGAGAGAGAGAGAGAGAGAGAGAGAGAGAGAGAGAGA